CCCCCCACCCAGTGCACAAATTTTTGTGCACCGGGCCTCTAGTATAGTATATAAAAGGCTAAGTGACTGGTAGTTATGATGTGCACTGACCACCAGGGGGCAGATGCTCAATGCAGGAGCTGTTGAGTGACAGCAACTTTGCAGAGTGCCCTCTTGCACTCCGGGACCCGTTGGGGGATGTCAGACTGCCCGGTTTCGGCCTGATTCCCATAGGCCAGGCCGAGGGACCCCACCAGTGCACAAAAGCATGCACCAGGCCTCTAGTATTACTATAATGGTATTAATAAAGACAAACAATTACTATATATGCCCAGCACTGAACCAAACACTTCATTTATACTAACTCAATGAATCCTATCAACTATCTTTGAAGTAGGAGCTATTTTTAATTCCTAATTTTAAAATGAAGATACAAGTCCTGGCCAGTGTGACTCAGTTGGTTGAGCATCGTCCTGTGCACCAAAAGGTCCCGGCTTGGTTCCAGGTCAAAGCACTTGCCACTTGCCAAAGTTGTAGGTTTGGTCCCCGGTTGGGGTACTGATGTTTCTCTCTCCCACTCCCTTCTTCTAAAATCAATAAAAACATGATACAGCCCTGACAGGTTTGGTTCAGTGGATAGAGTATCGGCCTGCGGACTGAAAGGTCCTAGGTTCGATTCCAGTTAAGAGCATGTACCTTGGTTGCGGGCACATCCCCAGTAGGGAGTGTGCAGGAGGCAGCTGATCCATGTTTCTCTCTCATCGATGTTTCTAACTCTCTATCCCTCTCCCTTCCTCTCTGTAAAAAATCAATAAAAAATATTAAAAAAACAACAACATATGATACAGAGAGAGTAAGGTCAGTCACACAACTAGGAGGTGGCACAGCCAGGATCCAAACCCAAGCAACTTGGTTCCAGAGCTCACTTTTTTAAAATTTGAATTTATTGAGGAAAACATCAGTTAATACAGAGCCCTTTTTTGTTGTTGTTGTTAGTCCTCACCGGAGGATATTTTTTCCATTGATTTTTTTTTTTTAGAAGGTGTGGAAGGGAGGGAGGTGAGAAAAACATCAATGTAAGAGATACATCGATTGGTTGCCTCCTGCATGCACCCTGAGTGGGGCCAGGATGGAACCTACAACGCAGGTGTGACATTGATTGGAAATCGAACCCGTGACCCCTTGGTGTGAGGGCTGACACTAACCACTAAACTATACCAGCCAGGGCCAGGGCCCAGGCCCACTCTTATTATGCTACACTCCCTCTCAGATCAGATTTGGGTTCTATCATGTTAACCCCTCATCCTCCTCCACACACAAATGCACACAAAGAGAGAAACATACTCATTACAAGATATGCTCACGCATACATTTCAGCATCATAAACGCTGAAGGGCAGCCCTGGCTGGTTTGGCTCAGTGGATAGAGCATCAGCCTGCGGACTGAAGGGTCCCAGGTTCGATTCCAGTCAAGGGCACATGCGTGGGTTGTGGGCTCGATCCCCAGTAGGGGTCATGCAGGAGGCAGCCGCTCAATGATTTTCATCATTGATGTTTCTCTCTCCCTTCCTTTCTGAAATCAATAAAAATATATTTTTTAAAAAAAGCTGAAGGGCACAAGACACAGTAGGAGGTGGTAATATTAGGCTAGACCTATCAAATATAGAGCAGGGTCTGAAATATGCCAGGCCCAGCCTGAGTTCACTTCTGTTTAACATGGATGTGGAGTCGCCAGCTCACTCATGTGCACGGTTGCATGGGTGACCCAAGGCAAACCAGGCTGGGTTCTATCAGCCACTCCAGCACAAGGCTCAGATGGAAAGGATGGAAGAACTCAGCAAAGCAAGCACACATCAGTGCTCCCTGCGGGCAGTGTGCAAGCCTCCAGGGTTGGAGCATTTCAGAGGATTCACATCAAAGGCATAATAGTGCCTGCTTCAATTTTTCATTTTCAAATATGTCATCTATTCAAGAGCCTTTGCTCAATTACTGAGTAACGCTGGCAAGATACACCTAGTTGGTTTGCCATTCAGTAGAAAATTGCCAGCTACTAAGGTGGTTTTGACCTCAGATAGTTTCTTTTGTGTTTATTTTTAATACATTGTTTAATTTATAGCCAGAAATAATTGCTAAAGACTGGAAGCACCAGGAATGCTGAAATGAAAGTGAAAGGAGCACAGAAGAGATATAATTATACAGTGTATCAAGATGGCTCTAGAACTTGAAAGACCAACATTTGAGAGAAGACAGAGCCCTGACCCATGTAGCTTGGTTGGGCTTGTCCCATGTACTGAAAGGGTTGCTGGTTCACCTGGGGTGCCAATCGCTCTCACATTGATGTTTCTTGCTCCAAAAATCAATTTAAAAAACCTTTTCTTAAAAAAAGAGAGACCATAGAGTGATGATTTTATATTTAATTAGTTTTTATCACTGGGAATAAAGACTACCCACTCATAATGTGTTCATGTTTATTTTACTTTATTGGGGTGACATTGGTTAATAACATTATATAGGTTTCAGGTGTACATTTCTATAATACATCACCTGTATAATGAATTGTGTGTCACCACCCAAAGTCAATAATGTGTTAATTCTTAGAAAGTTAATTGAAAATAGCAGCCTGAAGCCTTCTCATCTAATATAGAAACAAAATTCTAATTTCAAGAATAAATTTTATTAATTTGGAAAAACACCAAAACATTTTTTTAAGCACAGAGCATGTGTTTGTGTTGTGGT